AGAATAAGTGACTGCAGAACGTGCAGCCTTAATGGGAACATAAATCTCCTCCACCCCAGCCCACCCCTGCCAAGGCTCAGCATCACTGCAGACGAGAGACAGAAAGAGGGTAGAAGCCATGGATGACAAGACAACAATGTCTTCTGGACACACCAGGCAGCTGCACATGGGAATTCACAGTGGTTGTGACAGTGTGTGCAAGACCTGTAGGGCCCAAGCCAGACCAAGTCCCAGCGTGGGGAGGGGAGCTGGGTACACAAGCCCACCCCTCACTGTGGGGTAACTGTTTACTACTGGGGAAGGGAGAGACAGCTTTAAGAGTGTAGTGACCACTCTCCAGTGGAAGACAGCACACCCCAGAATATTTGGGGAGCACATGTTGGTCTTGAAGGATTAAAAGAAAATAGGACACAAAGTTGGGTAAGCAGGGAAGGGGGTAGGCTCCGGGAAGAGCTGGGGGAGGAGAGTACGATCAAGCGCATTTATGGAGTTCTTCAAGAACTAAGAAAAAGTTCTGTTGATTTTAAAGAGAAAATTGTCTCCAGGTTTTTGTTTGTTTGTTTTCTGTTTCAAGGTAGGGTTTCTCTGTGTAACAGTCCTGGCTGTCCTGGAACTCACTCTGTAGACCAGGCTGGCCTTGAACTCAGAGATCCACCTGCCTCTGCTTTAATCCTGATGCTGGGATTAAAGATGTGCACTACCACTCCTGGCTTCCGGTTTTATTCATTTTTATGAGGGGCAGTGTTGCTCAGCTTTCTAACTGTTTATTAGTTGTGTGTATTCCTCCTTTGTAACTCCTTATTCACTGTATTTGCTACAATGTGTACTAAAGCATTCACAGTTCATCAGCTCCTGGCTGATGGAGTAGTGCTCCAGGGATAACACCAATGCTCATTAGTCCACTCATGAAACTGACAATAGTTCATCAGCTTTGACTTATTAAAACATCAACTTCATAGAGTCTGATCTAACATATAATGCAGATTATCTCATTTTCTTCATGGCAAGTGCATGATGTTGTCATTTTACAAAAGAGGAAATTGAGGCCCAGAGCGGAGAAATGATTTTGCCAACAGATGGTACAGCCAGGGTTTGAACCCAGGCAGTCTGACTCCACAGTTTAACAAATAGTTAATGTCGTAAGCATGTTAGGAAGAAATCATGGGGCTGCACACCTTTAATCCCAGCACTCAAGAGGCAGAGCCAGGCAGAGCTCTGTGAGTTCGAGGCCAGCCTGGTCTACAGAGCAAGATCAAGGACAGGCACCAAAACTACACAGAGAAACCCTGTCTCGAAGAAGAAGAAGAAGAAGAAGAAGAAGAAGAAGAAGAAGGAGGAGGAGGAGGAGGAGGAGGAGGAGGAGGAGGAGGAGGAGGAGGAGGAGGGAGGAGAAGAAGAAGAAGAAGAGAAGGAGGAGGAGGAGGAGGAGGAGGAGGAGGAGGAGGAGGAGAAGAAGAAGAAGAAGAAGAAGAAGAAGAAGAAGAAGAAGAAGAAGAAGAAGAAGAAGAAGAAGAAGAAATCATGAACACTCCAGAGTGTTTCCCAGGAGGTCTCTCCTTGTTTTACAGCTTGCAGTTCTTCTGTTTGCACACAGTAAATACAGTAAAACATTTCTCACTGTTTTTAGTTTTTAGTATCAAATTATAACATTTACAAATAGAAACATTAAAAGAAATCTGCCTTTAAAAAAAAAATCTTCCTCCTTTCTCAACTCTTGTTTGTTTTGTTTTAAGACAGAGTCTCACTATGTAGTACTGACTGGCCTGGAACTCACTATGTAGACCAGGTTGGCCTGGAACTCACAATGAAGACCAGGCTGGCCCACATAGAGATCAATTTGCCTCTACCTCCAGGGTGCTGGGATTAAAGAGGTGTGAGCCACCATACCTAGTCCCTTTCTAGACTCACAAAAAAAAAAAATCTGATTTCTAAATTATTCATCAGGTTTGGTGGCCCTGTGGTAGGGAGTTAGAAACCGAAGGACCAAGGTCATGCTCAGCCACTTAGTGATAGTGTAGCCAGACTGATCTATGTCAGATTTTTTTTTAAACTAAGTAAGATCTTTATTAAAATGTATAGAATTTTGATTCAATCCCTTTAATAGAAACAGGCATATTAAGTTCTTCATTTTGTCTTGGATTAGTTTTTATAGTATCTTTCAAGTACGTGGTCCAGTTATCCAAGTTATCAGATCTGTGGACATGATGTTGTTCATAGTAGTCGTTAGTTATTTGCAACACCCATGCATCATTAGTGACGACCCCTCTTCTATTTCTAATATTGGTAATTCAGTTTTTTTAAAAAACATAGTTAGCAGACTAGATAATTATGAATTTTATTGATTTTTTTTTCTATACACTGATGTTTTGTTTTGTTGATGTTTGCTTGGTTTGGTGTTTGTTTGGGGTTCGTTTCGGCTTGCTTTAGATTTAAATTTCTCCTCTTCCTCAAGGTTCCCAAGCTGATGGGATTCACATCTTCCTTCCTAATATACACGCGTACTGCTGCAAATTCTAATCTGTGTACTGCTTTTGCTGCAGCCTGTGTGTTTCAATAGATTGTATTTGCATGTTTAATTTGTCCAAAATAATTTTTAATTCGCCATTAGCTTGGTTTTAGGGGGAGCTATGTGTTATAAAGAAATATGCATAGCATAACTGCTATGCTCCTAAAAATGTACAAAATCTTAAAATTTTCAAGCAAAATAAAAAGGCTCTGAACTCAAGGGTTTGACTATTCTAATAAGAATGCTGTGTCATAAATGTTTGTGCTTCTACACACACGTCTAAATTCTTGTGTTAAATTCTAACCCTGGGAGGAGTTGGAAGGTATTAGACTTCCTAACTGGAATTAAAGCTTCAGTCAAGAGAAGTCCAGTGTGATATCGGCCCTTTCCACCGTGTGAGCACACCCTAAGAAGGTCTTTGTAGTACTGACTGGCCTGGAACTCACTATGTAGACCAAGCCAGCCCTCCAAACCAGACACTGAATCTGTCAGTTCCTCCATCTTGGACTTCCCAGACTTTGTTTACAAGCTACCCGGCTGTGGGTTTTTTGTTATAGCCGCCCAAATGGCTCCAAAACACTGCCTCTCTTGTTTAAATTTAAAGCATGGCATTGGGGACTAATGGAGCACTGGTGGAGCACAGGGCAGATTTATGCTCTGAGAGGTGGTGCTCTGTCCTTCCAGGAGGATTCCCCACACACACACCAATGATAACTCAATTGTAACTGATTCTTTTCAGGAGCTACTCAGTTGACCATGCATTTCCTATCTCTACTCATTCCTGATAGAAATGCTCTCTGATGGGAGGACCAGTCCTGGTCTTAGGAGAATAACTGTCCAGTCTGTGTTTTATTGGCACGGGCAGGTCATTGCCTTCCAGTTTCTGCTCTGTGCCCTCCGTATTACACCATACACTCCATGACTTAACAGTTTTGCACGTAGAGAAATTGGTGCCCTTGACTGCTCAAACAAGTTGTTCAAAATTACCCAGCTCAGTCCATTTGACTGTGTCTGAATTATAGTTGATTACGAGTGATCCTAGCTAGGACAATTTCCTGCTTGGGCTCCAGTTCCCCCACAGGAGTGTAGTACTCACTCCAGAGCCCAGGAAGTGCCCAGTGGGACATCTGTTGTCCTCCTCTTTTCCTCCTCCACCTGTTTCAAGCCCCGCTCACAACTCAGCTTTACAGACTCCTGTAGCCACCTCTGGCCCGAATGTAAGTGGCGTGTGGCTCTAGGAATTCTGTAATTGCCTTTCTTGGACTCTAAAGTTCTGCTGGGGAGGGACCATCACCGATCTGCAGGGGGTCAGGGTCTGTGACCCCCTGCCGGGTGTGTTCCCAGCACAGATGGGACCCACCCCTGCAGAGGAGCCCAGGGTCTACTTATGGGTGGTCTTTCCTGTGGAGGAGGCTGCTGTCAGGATGAGCTTGCGGAAAGGGTATATCCCACACCGAGGATTTCACTTGTCTGTATTTGCTAGCTCCCAGGGATCCAACAAGGCCGGTCCTTCAGGCTGATTTTGCGCTGGAACGTGGAGGCCAGGAGTAAGGCAAGGGAAAGTACGTTCTTTTCTAGGGTTCCACGGGATCTAAATCCCACCATCACACCTCCATTTAGGCAGGAAGGACACTGTAGGGTAGGGGTGGGTTGGAAACAAGGTTGAGCTAACATTCCCTGGAGGACCGCCCCTTGACAAGCTGGAGGTTCCAGGACTTTGGGAACGTTTTTTGCACTGTGTAGTTGATATCCGTGGTTGGAGCGCCCCCTAGCGGCGGCACCTGATGCTCCTCTCGCGAAACGCCTGCATCCTGGACTTTGTTCTCTCTGGGCTCAGCAGGCAGCTGCCCACAACAGTGCAGCTGGAGTGTGAGAGAGAGAAGGCTATTCTCAGAGGTTGTCCCTCTGCGGTCCACACTGCCGAACAGCCTAGCCGACTCGACTGAGTGCCCTCTTCTTTCCAAGCTTCTCTCTGTTCTTGTTCCCGGCACTCGGCTCCTCTTGCTTTTTCTCTTTTTCCTACTCTTGAATTCTGCTTTGTGGAGTGTAACTGATTCCTTTTCTCTGTATCTGCAACAGGACAAATTCGCATGTTCTTTCCAATAGAAGCTAAAGACCAGGAGAGCCAACGGTGCGGTTCCCATCCCGAGGACGGGAGGCTCACCCAGAAGAACCAGTGTTTTCGATGAAGGCTGAGGGCAAGAAAAGCTCATGGATGTCCCAGCTTGAAGGTCACCAGCAGCAGCGCTTCCCTCTTACCTCAGCCCCTTTGAAAGCTCTATTCACTACTTCCCTAATTTGATGGGGTCCACCATCGATTTGATTTATTTGATCTATCAATTTAGACGTTAATCTCATCCAGGCACCATTACAGAAACACCTAGAATAATGTGAGACCAAATGCCTGCCCCCCCCCGCCCCCAAGTCAAGTTGGCATATAATAAACCCTCACAACACCCTGGGTTTAAGCAATGGCAGGTAGATGGGGGAACTTTTAAGGGAAGTCCAGCCCAAGACAAAAGATTGAACACTTGCAAGTATGTCTAAGATGCCATGGGCATCATTAATACTATTATTTGGTTATTTAAGGTGTTTGAACACCTGGTCCACAGGGCACCAGGTTTCTACTCTGAACCTAGCCTCCTTCTCAAGGCCTGTCCATGAACAGAGAGCATCTTGCTGTCTCTTTAAGCCTGGCACTCATCCCTTGCCTAGATTCACAACTCAAGATCTCTTGCCCCCTGCCACGCAGGAGTCTGTTTCCCAGTGGCCCTAGCTGACAGGAAACATCCCTTTTGCTGAAACAGCCCACCATTTCCTTTCCTGAGATCCTGGACACTAGCCATCATTACAAAGATTAGAGGTCGGCAGAGGGAAGTCTCCAGATGCACCCCAAACAGAAGCAAAGCATTTCTACAGCAAAGGAGAAGCCGCACGCACTGTCTTCTGCCTAACCCAAGGCTTGCAGAAATGCCTGACTCATCACCGTGCTTTTACATGCTCTTCATCACGTGTAGCACAGCAGAGCCTGGCTGATAACAGCACTGTGACAGCAATTAGATAGATAATCGTAAGTACGTGGAAGGGTTTGGCGGCTGGGTCTTGGTGAATAGGAGCTATAAATACATAATAGGAAAGATTCCATTAAAAAATGAGCCTAAAGCCATTGAAAAGCTTTCATTAGCCATTTCAAGAGATTCTGTAGCTAGAATGTTATTGACTCTTTTCACCCTTCACTGAAAGGCTTTCAATGGGGAACTAAAGCATCTAAAATTATAACGTGAGTCCATGGGGGAAGATTCTAACTTTATAAATGTCCCATCCTTACTCAGCTCCTCCTGAACTCAGCCGTGACACTGACCAAAATCTACCTTGTTTACATCCAATGCCTTAAACGAGTGCTGTTTAAATAAAGGTTTAGTAAACTCAATGTGATATACACACAGGCTAAATATAGTTACTTCTACCAACATGACGTGGGTTGAATCTCTGGAAGAGAAGTTGAAATGGACATAAGACATGATATTTTGCCTCACCTAACCAGATATTCCTCAGACAAAACTTTTCCAAGTAACACCTTTACGTTTGTGTTCATCAGATAGCCAGTTGATGTTTCCATTTACCTAGTAAGCAGTCCACACAAATGGAAGAATTAAGCCTTACTTATTACATATGCCAGGGACAGCCATCAGCTCACTATTCAGCTTCAAGTCCAAAGTCAGCCGAGATCAAGATTCGTGAGCATCAAAGGAGATTTGTGTTGTGTGTTTTATTCTCTAAGAACATACAACGAATGTAACAGTAGCCATGTATAATCATTAAAATCACAGAGAAGTGTGACTAATAGTGTGCTGCACCCTCACACATCCATCATCAAGGTTTTAAATGCAATACCTTAATCCAAGACACAGTTGCCCTCCAGTGCCTCCGGGATTCTGTATCCACCCCTATGTTCCTTGGGGTTGGCCATGATCTCAAATCTCTTACTCATCATTTCCATGCGTTTGTGTATACGTTCACCATGAATGTATGTATGGCTCAAGCACCATCTTGTGCATATTGAAGTTTTAAAGAAATGAACACTATAGCACATCAAAATCTCTGCAATTTGGCTTGTGTTTGTGAGACTCCTCTATGCAGATGGGTGACACTATGACCCAATCATCGTTATTCCTGCTTGACTGATGTCATGTGAATATATCACAATTCACCTGCTCATCAGCTTCCAGTGAGTGGACGCTGGGTGAGTTAGAATGCTTTACCCTTAACAGTGTTCCTGGGAATATCATTGTATGTGCGCACGAATAATTTCAAAGTAAGCCACATCACAGCGTGTTGCAATTGTTCCCTGGTTATTGGTTCACATTCTATCTTTACAAAGCATGTGGGCTTCAAGATCGTTTACCTTCATTTGACAAGTGATGATAACGAAAACATTACTTTTAGGAAACAGTTTTCAGTTTAGCGACTAACCCTATTCATGGGTTACTCTGTATTTCCATTTCCAGCAAGAGACTTGATTTATTTCCTTTCTTCCTCTTTTTCTAACAAGTTCACTTTAAAATTAAGGGTTTTTTTTGGTAAGGACCACTTTTCTCACTGTTTTAATTAGTAAAACCGGCATCGGTTCCAAACTCATCAGGTTTTTAGTTATGTTTTCATTGCTAACCCACAGGTTTTTCCTAATTTCAATCCATTGTGATAAAAATGTGATATGCAAAATAATTATTTGGAATATGTTGAATGTTTTTCTGTAGCTCAACATGTGGCCAGTTTTGGAGCACATTTGTATGTTTGGGAAAATAAGCTCTATGGAGTACAAGTCTTCCTCTCCCTCCCCCGCCTCTCTCCCTCTCTCTCCCTCCCTCCCCTATAACTGAGTTATCTGTAGAAGTCACAGTTGGGAGTTGCCTCCATCAGAATGTCCTATAGTTAAAAAGGAACTACTTGTTTTAAATAAGATAAGTAATGAAAATTTTTGTTTGAATTTGTCAAATGTTACTGGACTGGACATTGTTATATATTAATGGAGTTTTTTGTCTGAATCTGTCAACTGTTAATGGACTAGACATCGTTAATGTAATCTTGACTGTGTATATTATATATACTTATTGGATATAATTTTTCTTGTATTAGTTATAAGCTTTTTTTAATTTTAGACAAAAGGGGGAAATGTGGTGGTATTGTGTTCCCCAAAATATTGTGCACCCTAATAAACTTATACATTCCTAGTATACATATATATGTAACAACAATTAAAGAAAAAAGAGACTCTTAGTTAGGGTTTCTATTGCTGTGAAGAGACACCATGACCACGGCAACTCTTATAAAGGAAAACATTTAATTGGGTGGCTTACAGTTCAGAGGTTCAATCCATTATCATCATGGTGGGACATGGCAGCATGCAGGCAGATATGGTTGTGGAGAAGGAGCTGAGAGTTCTACATCTTGATCTAGAGGCAACAGGAAGTGAACAAGATACCACTGGGTGGTATCTTGAGAATAGGAGACCTCAAAACCTGCCCCTATAGTGATACACTTCCTCCAACAAGGCCACACCTACTCCAACAAAGCCACAGCTCCCAATAGTGCCACTCACTATGAGTTTATGGGAGCCAATTACATTCAAATTACCACAGAGACTATGAATTTGAAAGAGAGCATGGTGGGGAAGGGTATGCTATATAGAAGGTTTTGGAGGGAGGAAAAGGAAGGGGGAAATGATGTAATTACATTTTAATCTCAAGAAATTTTTAAATTTTTAAAAAGTTTCTTTGGTCCTCAGAAACAGATACATTGTTCAACAAACAAGAAAGGAGCCTCATTCACTGAAACAACAAATTTCAAGAAAGGAGGAGACCTGGGTGTGGTAGTGCACACCTGTAATCCCAGCACTAGGGATGCTGAGGCAGGAGAATCTTGAGTGTAAGGCCAGCTTGGCCTATATGACAAGACCTGCCAGAGAGAAAGAGAGAGGGAGAGTGTGCATGGACCCCAGTTCCACCCACCCTTACTTCCATCCCTCAGGCTGCCTCTCTCTGCAAAGCAGACCCATAATAGCTGCACTACCCTCATGTCCCCAGTTCAGCCAGCGAGTAAAGGCCTTGGCCCCTCATTTCTAGTATATGGCAGAGGGTGTGAATTAAAGCCCGGGCATTTCTGACTCTCTCTCTTGGCCACCTACTTTCAGTGTATTGTTCTGATTACCCAGTGGGTTCCAGTACTGTAATCCACCTTGTTGCAGTTCTTAAAGGCAAGTGTGTTCGTAAGTGCCATGCTGACCTTTGCCCTCTATCATGCCCTATCCAGGTCAATATTCCATTCTTCACGGCTTTTATGTGCTCTGGACAATGGACTCCCATGATCTTGGGTTCTCGTTAAAGTTTAGTTCATTTCTCTTGACTCTTTTGTTGTAAGAGAGATTCAGATGACCCTCAGTGCTTCTGGCCTTGCACAGTATGAAACTGTAACTTCTAAATCATATTACCATTGTCTTCTAGATTTTGCCCACACTTTAATTTGCCCATCTTTTTCCTCATTTATTGTTAGTGATTGGGATTTTTTAGATACGTCTTTCTCTATAGATCAAGTGGGTCTCAAACTCACTAACCTTTCTGATTCAGCCTCCCATGCACCAGGATTGAAAGGCAGCACTACTGTACCCAGCAGGTCATGCCTTTTTATTTTATTTTATTTATTGCCTCCTGTTTTCATGTCATATTTTGTAAACCCTTGTCCCACGAGATTAAGAAAGAATTATCTCTTGCTTCTAGGACATCTACAGGGTGACCATTTAGACTCCCAACTCTGAACCTAGGATGCATGTTGGTGGAAAATTAAGAGTACAGCTGCATTTGCACAGATTTCCCAGATCCCATTATTCATCTGGTTTCACTTTCCCCGGTGATTCTAAACTCTGTCTTTAAAATATAAGAAATATCGCTGGGCAGTGGTGGCGCACGCCTTTAATCCCAGCACTCGGGAGGCAGAGCCAGGCGGATCTCTGTGAGTTCGAGGCCAGCCTGGGCTACCAAGTGAGTTCCAGGAAAAGGCGCAAAGCTACACAGAGAAACCCTGTCTCGAAAAACCAAAAAAAAAAAAAAGAAATATCAGGGCTGGAGAGATGGCTCAGAGGTTAAGAGAACTGACTGTTCTTGCAGAGAACCTGGGTTCAGTTCCCAGCACCCACCCAGCTGTTAACAACCATCTGTACTCCAGTTCCAAGGGCTCTGGTGCCCTTTCTGGCCTCCACAGGCATCAGGCATGCACACTGTGCATAGACTTATGTGCAGGCAAACTTAGACACATAAAATAAAATAAATCCATATTAAAATAATAATAATAATAATATAGGAAAAAATCTATGTGCATGAGCCTGCTTCTTGACTCCCCTTTCAAATAGCTCCCATTTACCTGTCTAATCTGCTTAAATCTTTGTAATTTCACGATATATTTTAATATTTAGTAGAATTATTCTCTCTCACTATTCTTCCTAGCAGGAGTTTCTTAGCTATTCTTTTTTTTAATTGACCATTAATAACTGAGTATATTTGTGGGGTGCAATGTGATTTTTGTTTTGTTTTGTTTTAAGACACCCTCTCTCTATTGCCTGGGCTGGCCTTGAACTCACAGTCTTCCTGCTCCAGCCTCCAAAGGCTGGCATTATAGGCATGAGCCACCATAGCGCACCCATGTATACACTGTAGGATGAGCAAATCTACTTAACATACCCATCAATTCACTTGCTTGTTTTTGCGGGAAAATATTTGAAATCTATTCTCTCAGTAACTTTGAAATACATGATACACAATTATTAGCTCTGCCTGTCATGAACGTAGTGGGAAACATTGATTTTCACGCGAGCCTTAGCAGCAGTAAGGCTGGTTCTCTCCCCCACAATCCTCACGGGCAATTCTATTATCACCACCTTATATTTTGTGTTTTACTTGGCTGTGTTTACGACATTGAGTTTTTCCGTCAGAACACAGCCTGAATTTCCATTTGTCTAAATTGCTGCCCCCTCACAAGCGTTTTGAAGTCCTGTTACGGTAGCTCATTCACACTAAATTTAAGCCCGAAGCTTTCCTTTCCTAGCTGATGCGGCAAGGGGACCTCTCATCCTCTGTCTCCCGGCGTGCTATGTGGAAGCTTTTGTTCCCAGAACTCGTTTGTCCCGGTCACCTTACTGTCTCGTTTCCACGATTTTTTCCCTTTTTCTGAGCACGTAATTGTACCTTACCTCTAGACTATTAGTGATTTACCTCCTCATTTCTAATTTTTAAATGAATAAAATCAGTCAGCCAGGTAGTGGTGGCGCACGCCTTTAATCCCAGCACTCAGTAGGCAGAGGCAAGCAGATCTCTGTGAGTTTGAGGCCAGCCTGGGCTACAGAGCTAGTTCAGGACAGCCAGGACTATACAAAGAAATATTTATAAAAAAAAAAAAAGTCTTCTGTAGCTAGAGGGTTTTTCCCATCCCACCTGGCCAGCAGTTCCTCAGTCACTTATAAAGTAATCGTTCAGAGGCTTATATTAATTACCAACCTATGACCTATGTCAGGCTTCTTGCTAGCTAGCTCTTTCATTTTAAATTAACCCATTTCTATTAATCTATGTTTTGCCACTTGGCTGTGTGGTTACCAGTCTGCTGTTATCTCGTTGCTTCTTGGGCAGCGGCTGGCGTCTCCCCTTACTCTCTCCTCCTTTCTCCTTTCACTATCTCCCTTGGATTTTCCCACCTGGCTCCATCCTGCCCTGCCATAGGCCAATGCAGCTTTATTTATCAACCAATCAGAGCAACACATATTCACGGCGTACAGAAAGACATCCCATAGCAGTCTTTGATGCCAAATGGCACGGACCTCCAGAATGGATGGCTTGTCTCCTCCCAAACGTGAATGAGGGACAGTCTGTGGCTTTCTCAGAAAGCACAGTGCTGGCGTCTGGGTTGAGATAAATGTGTGGTGTTCTGTTCAGGGTGTGTGAAGCAACCCCTTTTTACTTAATATTTACTACCAGATTTTAAATGCATGTTTTCTAGATGCTTAAGAAAAACCCCATTACATCTAGTCCCTTCAGTTGGGACTAAGTAAACCTTTGTTAATTACAGTCTCAATATGTATGTTCCAGATGTAGGGTTTTAATGATCCTTTGAGCCTCAGATAAAATGCTGTAATACTTCTTTCATCAAACATTGTGAAGTTGAATTGTAAATTGAAGGGAATCACCAACCTAGTCCGTGATACACAGTGTCTATAAATATCACAAAAGCATATGATTACTGACATAATTAATGAAGTGTAATTTTATTTATATTTTTACAAATTGTGGGAATTTTAGGTGGATTTGTCCCTTTAATTTGGCCTCACCCCTGTGAGATTCTGAAATTTAAAACACATTTATTTCATAATATTTTTCTATGTTTGGGAATGTCTAATAAAATATGCTAATATCTAGGTGGAAAACACAGTGAGCCCTTGAATTCCTGATCCTGCACTGATCCCATTTTAACACTAGGGGGCAGCATTGTTTTAAAAAAAAAAAAACCTGGTAGGTTCTTCCAAAGCATCATGAAATAAATGTTCATCTGATGAGAGCCTAGATGAAAACACTATCGAAGGAGATCTGTCCTTGCCATTTCAGACTCTTCCCGCGTTGTCTTTATCAAGTGTTTCCTGTATAAAAATCCACAATAATAAACATTCGGAAGGACAATGAAAGCACAGTTAACACCCTCACCTTCTGGTCTTTACTCAGTCTTTGCCTCCGACCATGCTATATGAAACCGTAGCCTGCCCACCAGCCCAGCCCTCCAGCCTCTACTGCTACCTGGAGTGCATCAAATTCCAGCGTTTTTGATCATTTACTTCTTATGGCTTCCTGCAGTGTTCCTGTAGCACCTTAAGTGGAAGCCCTCGGGAGACGGTTTCTCCCTGATGTACACCAGGTGCCTGAGACGGTCAGTGTCCGGCCCAAGAGATGTGCAGGAAGTGTTTGCTGAGTGAATGATGACAGGGGGATGGTGCTGATGAGGGGGATTTGTGATGACGGTGGCAATCGGGGAGGTTTTGAAGGTGGCTGTATTGGAGGTGGGTGTGGCAGCAGTGGTGGCGATGAGTGATGTATCGGCAGTGGGGTCGTGCAAGTGACAGCGACCGATGCTGCAGCAATTGTCATGATGTTTATTATGTTAAAGTTGTCCAGGGTACTCTGGGAAGATGGAATCCAAGCCTGAGACCAGATGATTTCTAGAAAGTTCCAGAGATCTCAACCTCTGAGAGAGCTTGTCAGAATGTGGACTTTGGCAACCGATTCCTCAGATGAAGTAGGGAGGATTGGTCATGTGTGTGCATGTGCATGTATGAACATATGGGGGGGGGCCCACACTCCTGTCCCTCCCATATGAGTGATGTGACAAGCTGGAAGCCATGGTCAGCTGTCACTTGCTGAGTTCATCATTCCTGTCATAGTTGAGGCTCCAAAGAAAAGAATACACATTCAAACCTATGGATCAGGCCACCATGTGACTGGGTGGGCAGGTGAAGGCAAGGCTGTGCCTGGCATCTGCTCAACACAGGGGTTGGGGGGGGGCGGTGGAGATGGGGGGGGAGGGCAGGGGGTGAAGCTACTTGCTATATAGCCCAGTCTCTAAAGTAATAAACTCAGCCAGCAGGGGGAGCTGGAAGGAAAAAATGATGGATGGATATGATCAAAATACATCATGTAAACATGAAAATTTCAAAGAATATAAAATGCTTTGGGTTTTTTTTTTTTTTTTTGCTTTAAAAATACTTTTTTAAAGATTTACTTTTACGTGTAGGGGTGATGTGTGGAAGAGAGGGAGAGACAGTGGGGGGGGGGGGGGGGGGCTGCTGCTGGCGTAGGCCAGAAGAGGCTCCCCTAGAGATGGGAGTTGCAGGTGGCTACGAACATGACCTCCTGGAAGAGAAACAATGGTTCTTAACCACGGAACCATCATCTCTGCAGCCCAAAAGGGAAGAACTGTTTTTAAGGATATTAGATGTTCCAAGGGTGACTGACCACCAGAGGAAGGACGTGCTCAAGGAGGCAGGCGTTGGGAAGGAAGATCAACAAAAGCCAAGTATTATGAAAATACCGCAATGCACCCATTACTTTGTATGCTAATTAAAAGCCAAATGAATCAGTTTTGAAAAAAACTTCTATTAATAAATGCACTCTCATTGTGAGCTGCAGGGCTGGCTGGACTCCTAGAACTCATATCAGACAGTGACAGAAGCCTGCCTGCCCTCCCTACCCATCAGGAGGACTTTCAACATAGCAGTCACCCAGACTGGCACATGTGATCTCTATCTACACACCCCAGGTAAGCTGCCCCCAGGCCACTCAACACAAAGGCAGGGCTCAAGGGTATTATGCTAGAAATACAGGTCCAGGATGCAACCATGGAAGAATCAGGCTCAGGGTGCAGCAGAGGTGGGATTCCGCATCCCCGATACCCAGAACTTGGGAAAGGAAGATACAGTGCAGATGTCTCCTGACCAATGTACCTCTCTTCTGCAGATGGTGTGGTTAGTAGAGGGCCCGAGAGGCCTCAGAAGCCCTGGCCTAGGCCGGGCACCTTCTTCTTCTAGCTACCTGGGTCACTGGGACTGTGGCTGTTCTGTTGGGTTCCCAGAGTACACTTCTCTTCAGAGAAAGCTTGAATAATAATGTCATGCCAAAACATCTAGGCAGATGGTAAAGAAAGGGCCATTGGTGGATAGAAACTAAGCTTCATTAAGGTCTGAGAAGGTCATGTCCATGCACTGGCAACCCCAGTCCTCCCGTGTCTCAGACCAGCACAAATGCAAGGTCTGGCCCGAAAGGGGCTCTCCCTCCACTGGCCTTGCCTGGACGCTCCAGCCTCCTCCTCCAGACTTCTGCAGAAGTCTAGGGCTCCTGGCCTTCACCTGGTGTCTCCCTCCTCCCACTGATGGTTCTCTCCCCCTTGGGGGTCTCTTGTATGTAGAATGGCAGCTCTTCCTGAACTCCACATCTGTATTTCCCCTCCCCATCTCCAAGCCTGGACCTTATTCTTCCACCAGATCCCTCGAGGCCTCCTCAAAGCCCTAGCACCTGCTAATAGCCTCACTCCCTTCCCCAGGCAGCTGTCCCTGGCTCCTCAGCTAAGCTCACACTCATTGTCAGAGGGGCGTCTGACAGCGTTGTGATTGTGCTAAGATCCATGGAATAGCTGGCGTTCGCTTAGGGGCTAGAGAGATGGCTTAGAGGCGTCTTGCAGAAGATCTGGATTCAGTTCCCAGCACCCACATGACAGCTCCCATTGCCTGTGACTGCAGTTCCAGGGGATCTGACACCCTCTTCTAACATCCTCAGGCTCCTGCACACATGTGGTATGTGTACATACACTCAGGCACACACACACACACACAAAGATAAGATAAATATTTTTAAAAGGGTGCTTAGTTTTATGTGAATTACAACTCAATTAAAATAAACATTAAGGCTTCAGAAGCCTTCCTGCCTCCCACAGCCACATGCAGCTAATGGTGTCCCTAGGTCCCTTGCATACACTCTTCCTTCAGCCTGTTCTTTCTGTGGCCTCCATACTGAAGGTCTCCATTGCTGCCAAAGGGCATAAAGGTGAATTCCTTGTGCTGAGGCTACAGAGCAGCAGTAATGGCCATGAATGAAGTCTGCCTGTGAGTGACCCATGACATCATGTTCTTTTGACAGTAGACATCCATGTCTGAGATGGTTTTGTAAAACATCCTAGACCTTCTCCCAGAGGACCTCCTCTCCTGAAAGACACTGTCCCCTCCTTTAGGAACAATCTTCCCGCCCCTAACATCTCATGGGTAGACCGTGTACCACTGAGACAAGAGAAGGGAACCTTGTGTCCTATTCCAGGTCCTCAGCTGCCCTTCTTAGCATCTTACGCCCTAGAAAGAGCAGTTGGAACAGGCCTGGTCTCGAGACTGGGGGGCGTAGATCTGGTGGCTTTGTCACGGGGCCCTGATGTCCCTCCAGGTTAGCACCCTTGAGTGAGGGAGGTCCAAGGACAGGATGCTCCGGGGGTACACCCGCTGAAGACATGTGATCTTGTGACATCTTCCAAGCTGTGGCCAGTGTTCATTGTTGTCGTGTTTTTCTCTCTGTCCTTTTCAGCATGTGAGGAGACCATATCTCAACTCTCCTTCCCTGAGATAAATGTGGAACAGACACCTTATCTCTCTCTATTTCACTGCCTCCCTCGGCCCCCCCTTCTGGGAACAGTCCCCCAAGAGGGACAATCAAATCATTTCAACGCTTGTCAGAATGCACCAACCTCCCTCTGTGCCATCAGTGCAGAGCGACAGAGCGCTGGGACACAACCTCCTCTGTGAGTTGGTGCCACCCCTCTGCTGCTCAAAGGAGCTGCCTACCACACGACAACCAAATCACAGCCACCTCCAAGGACAAGGTTTACAGTGGGATCCGGGCCTCCCTGGGCCGAGAGCTGGTCTCTGAGAACTCATCGAACTTAACCAGATGGTGGGACACCTGAGCTCATGCTACGACCTCAGGGCTCCTCAGAGTTCAGCCATGGGAGGCTCCCCATGAACACACAGTCCCGAGCTTCACCTCTGTCTCTGACTCAGCAGGGCCTGAGCAGGCTCTGCTCCCAGCTGGGTTTGGTGCAGCTGGACCTCTATCCACACTCTGAGCATCATCGTAGGGAGCAAGTGGAGTCCTGTGTGTGTGATGTTTGATACAGGCACAGCAGTGTCGAGGACCCAATGCCTTAGACCAGTGGGAGCAGCCAAGCCTTCCCTGGGTGAGGCTCAGGGGGGTGGCAAAGCCTTCCTCTGGTCCACATGTGGTGTGTACAGAAGACATCTACCATCGCTGTCTCCCTCCCAACACTCCCACCCCTGTGTACAGACTGTCCCCCCACAGAGACTGAACCTACAGAGATCAACTAAAGCTGCCTCCTTGTTCAGCTGCCTGTATATGATATACAGTGTGATATACTACCCATATAATAACCCTGCCTTCTTAATTATCTATATGCAACAGCCCCACCTCTCTGTTCAACTCTATAATAAACAAGCTCAGCTTCCAGGTGCTGCAGTATCTCCGTCAGGGAGCCCAGACCATCCGATCCCAGCTCTTCTGCACTGGATGTTCTGAGCAGGTGACAGCTCCCACCTATTAAGGCCTTCCTGTGACACAAGAACTGATTCCCAGGGGCTCCAACAGAAAGGCACAGAAAGGTTCAACCATTTTCCCACAGCTCCCAAGCTAGGAGGCGACAGAGTAAGATTCCAGCCCAGTCCCACTTCTCCGACATCTGCAACAACCATGCCTGACCCACAGGTGTGCCCTGGCCCCTCATGGCCACCCTGGACCTGGACACACTTGCAGTGGATCCATATCCCCAGGTGCCCCCTCTTCCCCAGCCTTCCCTGCTCCAACACAACTCACTGCCAAGATCGCAGTCTCTTTTTGTTTTCTAATTTAACAGAGAGTACGTCACCATTTGCCTGTCTCTGCAGGTACAATCCAGGGAGATTGTGTACAATCATACGGTTACACTGCTGTCGCCCCGGACCATCACCAAAACTTTCCCACCTTCCTGAATTAGCACTACGCTTAATAAACCACAGCTCCAAATTGTCCCCTCTATCCAACGCCTTGGCAACACTCTACTCCTCGGCACTTGGCTACTCTGGGCATCTTGTATGAGGGCGTCACCTAGCATGTGTCCTATCTGGGACAGGCTGAGTCCACTTAGCTTAATGTCCTCCAGCTTCACCCAAACTGGAGCATTGGTTAGAATCTTCTTCACTTTAATTAATCTTCTAATATTCCATTGTTTATACACACCATATTTTGTTATTACATTCATCTATTAACAGAAACTTAGCCTATTTTCACCTTTGATTACTGTGAATAATGCTGTTGTAAACATGGATGTGAAAATCTCCCTCTAAGTCACTGCTGTCCATATTTTTGACTATGTATCCAGAAGTTGGCTCATTTCTGGGTCTACAGACATTCTCTGGTGAATGTTTTGGGGAACTGCCTTACTGTTTTCACAGCTAATATACTAGCAGAAATGGGGGGGGGGGTAAGCAGTCCAGTTCCCCTCACCACCATTGGTTATTTTCTAGGGTTTGGGTGATAGTCATCCCAATGAGTATGAAGTAGTACCAGACAACTTTTTTTTTTCAAAGACAAGGTTTCTTTGTGTGACCCTGGCTGTCCTGGAACTTGCTCTGTAGACCAGGATGGCCTCAAACTCAGAGAGCTGTCTGCTTCTGTCTCCCGAGTGCTGGGATGAAAGGCGTGCCCCACCATGCCCCACTAGTCGGACAGCGTTCTTAGTACCAACTCTAACAACCACTTGCCCGCTCATTGGGCAGGGCTGTTTGGGCTCCCAGAGTGTGGACAGCTGGGGTAGATGCTTAGGTGCCTGTCAGCAGCTAAGACAGAACTCAAGCAGGGAAGGAAGCAATTATGAGTAGGCCTATTCACTGGAGCCATAGGCGGGGTGGAAGAATTCAGAAAGGAAGGAACACCCCTTCCGGGCTGGGAAAGAAGTTAGACATTGTCACTGAGCCTGGGACACTTGAGTCATGCCTCAGAGTGTGAACCCAGCTTGCCTGTAGCGGTGAGGGGATGGGCATCCTCAGTACAGAGGCAGTGTCAGCAAAAGCCAAAGAGGGGGGGTGACACCAGAGCCCCTGAGGGGTCAGGTGGGTGTGGGGACTTGGCAGAGGAGACAAGGCAGAGAGAGACTCACAGCTAAGTGAGGAGAAGAGGGGTGACAGATGAGTAACCTAGGATCTTGAGCAGAGCAGGGTGGAAGAAGGAAGGGGCTTGCTAGGGACCTGCTGGGCGTGTAAAAGAGGAGATGGCCACGAGAACTCTGCACTGTGGGGGAGCATTCAGAACACAAGAATGAGGTCATGCTGGAGCCTGACCCTTGAGGAGGGATGCTCAGACAGGGCAGGAAAAACAAAACTATAATGCCAAAGGGGAGACAGGGTGGCGAGCGGAGTGATGAGGAGGGGTTGAAGAATGCAATCAGGTTCAGGGCAGTAATTAACGATTAGCTATATACTAGACCCAAGTTCAAGGCCGGCTCTGCTACCAGCTTCGCTGTGTGATATTGGATAGGTTCCTGAGTCTCTCTGAGCCTCGGTGCTTTAGTCTGTAAAGTGAGGGCAGTAATAGAGCCTCCCACACAAGGCAATTTTGAAAATTAAATGAGGCTCTGCTTGTAAGTTCTGATTGCAAACGCCTGGCACCGGCACAGAGCCTGGACGAACGGTAGCTGGAGGCCTCTGGTTATCACGAACCCCAAGGCAAGAAAACAGGAGCCAGAGAGGCTGGTGGAGAGCAGCTGCCGCTCCGCCCCAACAGAGAGTGGCAGAACAGGAGGCCAGGCCGGGAGACCTGTAAGGAAGCATAGGGGTGGACGGACGGACGGACGGACACCACTTACCAGTGCTGATGGGAGGGGGTGACTGATGGCTCAGAGGCCTCTAGGGAACAAGAAGGTGGACAGCACTTAGGCGTATGCCAATCAACATGTCCCGTCTGACTTCAGAGAAAGCAATTGAGTTTTCAAACAGAGGTTCAGTGAGACAAGGTAAAGGTTTGGGTCTCAGGGGAGGTGAGAGGGAACAGGCCAGTTTGAAAGCCTGGCGAGAGTCGGGGTTTTATATTCAGAAAGCAGGGCAGCTTAGGAGGTATTTGGATGAGTGGCACGCTGGTACTATTTTAAAGGTTGGGTGTGGGGATTGAAGGAGTAGTGGGTAATGCATCTCTGGTGAGGTACCACACCTGCCCAGGTCAGTATTAGCAAAATGATGACAAGGACCTAAAATTCCTATGTTGAGGTTTTAACAGCACTATTGCGCCAAAGACTCACCAGTTCAGGTTAAGTTACACCCCCTCAAATAGTAGTAGGCATGACTACATCGTCCAAAATCCCCAAATCTTACTAGTACCCAAATCAGGGTTCTTGACAAATGGGGAAGGGTGGAACCTGGCAGATCCCAGTTGGGGCAGGGAAGGGCCAGGAGACTCTTTGGGGACACACAAGCAGTAACTTCTCTCGTGCCAAAAACGTATTTAGTTAGCATAAAGCCTGTCAGACACACTGTACCCCATAAATACAAACCATTGTCAATCAAGAATAAAATTTGAAAACCAACCGCCAGGGGGCACTTGCTGAGCATTTTCTCTGAGAAGATGATCTCATTCTCCCGCCGGAAGTTTTGCCCTGATTTTCAAACTATCACACCCTGGCAGCGAGAAAAAAAAAAAAAGAAAGAAAAAAAGAAAGAAAAGGAAAAACAAACAAAAACAAAAACCGTGGCACATAACGACACATGGCCATTTCGGTTCATTTGAAGTATCCCGGCCTTGCGGTTGGGCCACCTGCTCCAATAACGCAAAACAGTGGGAGGATCAGGGAACAGCTCTGGTTTTGCTTCATCATGGTGGAGAACCAAACCTAGTCTCCAGTCATCCCTGGCACAGTGGTTTCCATGGGTCCTCGGGGACCAGGCAGTTTAGGAAGGTAACTCTCCCCGACACCTTCAAACTATTTGCAGTGGAGTTGGAAAGGGGACGTCATTCAAAATGCAACCTGTGGGGATTCGTTTTTGGCAGCAGATCACAGTGCTCAACACAATGGCTCTCTGTCCTCTGAGCAAGCCTCTGTGGAACCTTGGCTGCTCTGGACCGACAGGGCTCAAGGAAACCATTACATAGGACGGAAGGTCCAACCAGCGCCGGGGTTTTACTCCTGCCTAGGAACCCACTGGAGCCACTGAACTCCCACAGAAACGGCTCCTTTCATCCGGGCTGGGGGAAGTGGGCTCTGGGTTCTAATCAGATTCCCCAGCATACCTCCACCACAGTACCGCAGTAACAGGGAAATATCTAATAGGTAAATGTCTAACAGGTACATGTAACTGCAGTTACAGGGAAATGTCTGCATCAAAGTAGGGACTGGGTCCTTGACTGTTTCCCTCCAAATGCAACAACAACTAACAACAAAGCCCTGGTGTGTAGCCCTGGCTGTCCTGGAACTCCTTCCGTAGACCAGGCTAGCCTCAAACTCACAGAGATTCTCCTGCCTCTGTTTCCCTGAGTGCTGGGATTAAAGATGTGCACCACCACCACCTCCCAGTTGGGGAATTTTTATGATTAAATCAAATGAATCTTTAAATTGCAGAGAGTGAAATAACCGTGTGATTTCCCTGTCTGTCAGCAGATTGGCTCTGGATGGTTAACCAGCCTCCAACAGAATCAGCAAACATTTATACTAAAATTTCTTCCCTGACAGTCCTTGTTAGTGTAAGCGTTAGTCTAAAATCTAAATAACAATCAGTTTTTCTTGGAGTGTGGCTGTCCTTTGTAGCAGGCTAGGAAAGGTGGTGGCTCAGTTTCCCCTCCTGCTACTACAGAGGCAAAGCAGACAGGCCCTTAAAACTTGGGGGACTCTGGACTTCATCCTTTTTTTCTTAATTTGTTTATTTTACTCTATGTGTTTAAATGTTATACCTGTATGCATGTGTGTGTACTAGCTGCATGCCGGTTGGGTCCTCTAGAACTGGGGTTGAGGATAATTGTGAGCCATCACATGGGTGCTGGGAATTGAACCAAGAACTTGTTACAAGAACAAGTGTTCTTATCCGCCCAGCCAGCTCTTCAGCCCTCCATTGGGGTTTTCATAAGGAACCTTGGGGAACATCCTTAAGGACAACCATCAAGGGAGCTGAAGGCCTATATTCCATTTGGAAGAAAGGATATCATCCCTCACAGTGGGTTCTCTCTTTGCAGAGGGGCAGAGCCCTAGATTTTGCTTTTAGAACCCCACCCAGGGCAGTCCTTTTCCAGTGTCCTGGTTTTCCCAAATTGTGCGAAATCACTACCGCTTTAAAAGCCTCCCTTCTGCTGGGGTTTCTCTGAGCAGCAGGTTGTTGTCTGCCTGGGGAAATGCATCTTTCCCCAGGGGTAAAGCTATTACATTAACTGCCCTTGTTCCCTTGGCTATAACTTTCCCCCCGGGACCATTCAGGCTGTCTCTGTTTTATTTCTGTTGTTAACCAAAGAAGCCACATTTAAAAATTATTTTGGGGTGTTTGGTGACTCGATGTGGCTGGGGGATGTCTTTTTGTATGCTGTGAATATATGTTGTCCCATTGGTTAATAAATAAGCTGCTTTGGCCTATGGCAAGGCAGCTTAGAGGCAAGCGGGAAATCCAAGGAGAGAGACAGGAAAGAGAAAGGCAGAGTCTAGAGAGACGCCAGCCCGCCACCCAAGGAGCACCATGCTAGCAGACCAGTAAGCCACGAAACACGTGGCAAAACACAGATTAATAGAAATGGGTTAATTTAAGATGAGGGAGATAGCTGGCAAGAAGCCTGCCGTAGGCCATGCAACTGGTAATTAATATTAAGCCTCTGAGTGCTTATTTTATAAGCAGCTGCAGGACCGCTGGGCCGGGTAGAACCTGAGAAAACTTAAGAGTTTCTCTGCCTCATATATAGAGCAGATTGAGCAATAAAATAAGAATTATCAATAATGTGAAAATAAGAAAAATAACCTGAAATCCCAGTAAACACAATCCCATGCAGACCATCGTTTACAGTCTTAACGCTTGTGAGTCATATTGTGGCTTATATGGATATCCTGTGCCACACCGAAGCTCTGGGTTTTGTCCTCATATCTTTCCTCCTTCCATTTTGAAGCATTATTTTCATTTAGGACAGAACTTCCATCTAAAATCACTTCTCACCTCAAAATATTTCCTTTTCTCTTTAATCTTCTTACCAAAAATATATTTTCTAACTATAATTTTGTATGTCTTTTTTTTTTTACTTAGTGATTTCTGTCTCAGAGTCTTGATCGGTCTGACAAAACACCATGACCAAAAAACAACTTGGGAAGGAAAGGGGCTAT